CGCTCATTTCGGCCAGATTAATCAATCGACACAATGGGGGGAGTTTTTGTGAGGACAATGCTCAACACTTCCCGAATCGTGATTCGCTTGATGATAGGTTAGTTCATCGGAAACATGTTCATATGGCTACATTGTTTCAGATCCGAAAGATATTTGGATTAAATGATCAAAGATATGGCAGGTGGTGTGTTTTATGTAGCAGCAACATGGCGCTGTCAGTAAGAGTGTTACAACTATCCGGTTACCGCGGCTAATTCTTCTCGAAGTTGTCGCGGATGGTTCATAATCCCCAGGGATATTTAAAACAAAGCAGGACTAATCAAGACTAGCCCCGCCCGCCCGAACCCCGGGAAAACCTCCGTTAACAGTCTGCGCAAGTGAAACGTATCTCTGGCCATCAGAAAAGTTCAAAAGTTTCCATTCCAGTGCTGGACAGAAGCAAGTACAATTGTAACTGATCCTGCAAATTAGATGCGACAAACGTGTAGACACTTAGGAGTTGGAATCACAGAAGACAAAATCCCAAGCAAGCGACAAAACCGCATTATCGTAAGCGTATACTGAACTTCAAGACCACTCTTCTCGTCATGGATGAAAGGCACTGGGAAAGCTATGAACAAACAAAAATCCTTGTTGATTCATTCCGGTAGACACTGGGCAGTTAGAGTGCACTGTTGATGAAGAGAACACTCAAAAGATGAACGAATACAATTTGTTCAGGTTGTCTTTCGCCACAATGAAAGCGGTCGACGTCGGTACTGAGTAGTGTTGTCACATCCTAGCGAATATTGGACTCGGTAATCTGCTACAGTGATCCTTTCTTGAACCGATCACAGGGACCAGGCACAACGTGTGATATGACACTCGCACGAACGAGAATCGATAACACAAGCCTTTCGGGGTGGGGGGGAGGGGGGCGTATCACTACACGACTGAACAACAGTTCACCACAGGAATATCCTATCAGCGGTGACAGACGATTTCTCTGCTTGCCGAATTCTACCTCATAAACAGATCACGGAAAATTATCCAATCAGATCGCAGGCAGGGTCAGATAGGTGATCAGCTATGCGGCACTCGGGTGAGAGAAACACTGCAGCGAGTAATCATTGTGCTAAGAAGTCAATTTGGCAAACAAGCTCGTTTTCGGTGCCTCATTTACTAGCCAAATACAGCACTCTTTTATAGGTCACAAAATCATAGAGTTCAAGAAAATAGAATAGGCGTAAGTAATGTCTGTGTTTGTATGCGTGCATGTGTGTGGATGAAATGGATAATACAGTCAGGGGTGTATGTGAGTTCAAATCATTCTGCAAATGCCATTAGTACTGTCGAATGAATCAAATGCATTTGACACTCATTTGATAACAGGCTTTATGTCACTCTAGCCTTTATGGCTGGCCATGATAAATACAGGGCTCTGACCGACTGTTTGTGAACGCACAAGGAGGGTTTGTTCAACCGAATCGCGATAGCTTCGGCTGTTGACAGTAAGCGGTGCTTGACCTGCTTCGATCTCACCCCGGTGATCGTGTAGATGGGCCTGACCACTTCACTCATTCTGAAACGATGCTCGGCTTCGACCAAATGAGCCATGATCGCTGTCCTACCGGGTTTCGTCATTCCACGACTAAGCCAGCTGGGATGGTGTTCTCGAATGCATTCAGCCAAGCGGCAGGTTGTACGACCAATGTAAGTGGTTCCACAGGAACACACGAATTGGTAAATGCAAAATGAGGTCATTTCCACCGGTAGCTTGTCCTTCATCTGCAATGAAAGAACTGGTTTGGAAGTGTAAATGATTCCTAAATCAGCGGCATAGTAAGTATTTCTGACAGCAGTCTGGAGGCGCTTACTTATCATTTCAGTTAATGTGTCACCTTTAAATGGAATGAACACGTAAACAGGTTTCTTCTTAGCCGTCATCTCAGGTTGCACTTTCGTGGTAAACTTCATACATTGTTGAATGATCTTATCCGGATATCCATTTTCTATGAAAGTCTTCCTAATTTTTCTCAGCTCTTCCTCGCATGTATCAGGCGAGCATATCCGCCTTGTCCTGTTTAACATACATCAAACCAATGCCCTCTTTCGTTGTAGGGGTACAAAACTGTGATAATTTGTGTACTGTCCTATCTAAATCTGCTTTCGATGAGTGCTACGTCGAAGGAACCCGTTTTCACGTCAGGAGAGTAAAACATCGAGGAACGCCAACCCTTCGGAAGATTCCATTTCTAGCGTGAATCCTTTGTTATTATGGGCTTTGTTAAATTGATCCAACAGAATAGTGGGACTCATTGAGGAATCGACAACACAGAAGATGTCATCTACATAGCACCGATATAATACACATTCATTATATAGCCATCCAATACTTCAGTTTCCAATTNTGCCATAAACACATCGGCCAAAAGGGGACCTAAGGGAGATCCCATCGCAATCCCGTCCTTCTGGCGGTCCATCACTCCATTGAACTGGAATTGAACATTATACGTACATAAGTAGATTAGGTTGCGAAGGTCCTCGATGAGTAAACCAATATTCATACATCTGCGCTCAATCTGATTGCATAGGTAGTCTATGGTCTTTCCAAGAGGTACGTTAGTGAATAGAGACGCCACATCTAGAGAAAACATGTGCTTTCCTGAAACGTCCAACGATTCAGTAGCGTCCACAAATTCAAAGGTGTCCCTCAGGCTGTAAGTTGTTAGTTCCCTTCTGACGGGCTCCAAGGTTTCAGATAGCCATTTTGCTATTCCGTGGTAAGGTGAATCGTGCATGTCCAGTATGGAGCGCATAGGCAATCCTTGTTTGTGCAGTTTAGGTAGACCGTAGATTGTGCGTTCCCGAACTAACACTGAAAGCCCATCATCCGTTGAAGCAGACACAGCTTTTGGATATCAGATAACCCCCTCCCATGGATAGGGTTGGTATGAATGGATGCGCGCGAAGCTCGCATTCAATTGGTAGTGTACTCACGTACACACACACACACACAAACAATTTGATAAATGAATTTTAAATAAATATCCCGAAATCATTCGATTGAAAAATTGTCAGGATAGATAGTACCACTAATTGTCTATAGTATAGTCCCACAGAGCAGTAACCAAAAAGTCGTCTTTAAATCACCACCGATAGCACCATGCTATTTTTCAGTTCAGTTCAGCTCTTACAACCGGTAACCATGCACTAGCGTGCACCGGTTTTGATTGCTGTCTTTTAGCTGCCTATTTCGATAAAAGAGCAGAATGAAAATGAGAATTTTGAGAGCAAATTCAAGGGGAAGATAGAGAATTCATATAGACTGGGTTGTCGGAATAATGAGTATATGCACGAGCGCCACTATTTGCGATACCCAACCATATCACCACCGGTGACCATAATCTCGGTGTCCCCATCCAGGGAGACAAACAGTACCTATATGACGGAGTCTCCTGGTTGAGTTTCATACCCTCATGCCGGGTCTTGACCTTTTCCCACCAAATACCCACTTCGGCAAAAATCACGCGCCGCGGTGACATGCTCAATACATGTCCCAACCAGCGTAATATATGAGGGTGAAACACGTGTTTGAACTACCGGGATTATCTGAAACTCTGCGCCTANGCAATGCGGTGTGGACAGCGGTGTTCGAACATCGACAGTCTATATGTATCCTGTTCTCGTAATGGCCAAGTCTCTGCACCGTGGAGCAGGAATTGCATAACTGCGGCAGCGTATACCTTTCACAGATAGTTGGATTTCGTGATGGTGTCACAGATGTCTTAAGTTGGCAAATACCAACCTAGCCTTCTGTGTGCGTACCGACACTTCATCGGTGATGCGTCCACTAGATGAGTTATAGCTTCTAAAATAACAAAATTTGTCTACTTCCTTTTCTTCTTCCCAAGTTAGGATGAGGTTTGGGGCTGGGTTAGCCCAAGATTGTAGCAGCATTTTACACTGTGAAGGTGTAAAACGCATAGAGAACACGGCTACACTAACACTCAAACTATCCATAAAAGCCTGCAACCTCAGTAGTACGCCATGCTACGGATCAGTTCACCGAGAATCCCTATCCTGTAGTTTAGAGCGTGCGTTTAGTGCGATCGTTAACAGCAAATTATAATCAGCTATCATATTTTGTTTGAAGCCAACACTTTTCGTTTCTATCACAAGCTCTTTCGACAGTTCTTGTAGCCTAAATGTTTCTTTTGAATTTTCTTCTTTTACAGTGAAGTAGCGAAAAAAGAACGGCAAAAAGTGGATCAATTACTGCGAGAACTGTACGAGTGGAATGCGCGGCATCGTGTGCCCACTGAAATCCGACCATCCCCACCGGTCAGTTCCGATGATCAATTTCTCTCCTCATCATCGGGCTCGGAAATCTCCGACACTGAGGTATCGGAAACCGGAATTGAGTCACGCAGTGCACGCGGTTCTAGTGAACACTCATCGGAATACATCTCGGAGCACTATCAGTCGAGAATCACGACCAAAACCCGGTTCCCCTCCATGACCTACATGTTGCCGGCAATCTTCGCCTACGGTGAACAAGGATACTCAGATGAAATCGCTTCGAGCGAAGAGGCGAGTAGTGTAGAAGATGGAGCTAGCGAGTACAGCGTAGGTGCAGATTCTTACACCAAGTGGCGCGATGGACAAATCTATCAGAAGTGGGTTCCGGCAGCTCCAACCGTTGGGACAGAAAGCGATAGTATGGAATTCGAGACCGGGACTGGCCGTCAGTACGTCAGCACAAAGAGTTTGAATATGAGTATGACGCTTGAACCGGATGTACCAGTTCATTCACCCGAACGTACTGTGTATCGAAGCCGGCAACAGATTGATACGACAGAATCAGAAAAAGCTTATTCTGTGGTGTATATTGAAGTGGCCCGAACCGATCAGTCGGACGAACGTGCCGGAGCTATTTCAGTTGGACAGTTTGATAAAGCGGTTCAGGCTGAGCACAAATCACCCACTCCGCGCGTAAGACGAATCACTCAGATGCGCGAGGAGGAAGAGGAAGATGAGAGTTTGATTAGACGCGAGGCGCGAAAGACAATAGTTGCACCAATGCGTGGCGATAAAGTGGACGATGGTGTACAGACCGTTGGTACCTTATCAGTAGGACGCAGTATTGGTTTGATGACTGTAGATGAAAGCGAACTGATGGCGTTGATTACATCTGAAACAAAGGAATCGGTAGTCACGAAGAAAGAAACTACCGAACAGGACTTGGTGCATGTAAAAGATGATACACGTATTGGACAACCAGTAGCAGAAATCCATGAAGAAATGGTACCTGAGACAGCTGCGCAGCAAACCCGGACTGATTCAGTAGATACTGTGAGATTCCCCGGATCTTCCCGGGAAATGTCGACACAGACAGCGCAGCCTCTTTACCAAGGCACGTACGTTGACGCGCATATCAAAACGGTATTACAGTCCACCAGCACATATCATTACACTCCAGAAGAAACATTGACTGTCATTACCGGATCAGAAACGGCACAAGTCGGGGAGACGATTCAAGCGGTCGGAAAACCTACCATAGTCGCAACGCACAGAGACTTCTCTTTCAACCTCGATAAGGCAGTTCAATTAAGTCCCGACATGAGACCGTATGGAATGAATACAGAATTTCCCCTCTCTACTTACCGGGAGTATTTCCACGTGACATACGAAACCCAATCAGAACAAATTGCAACACAAATCACAAACGAGGTAATTGAATCCGCCATGGAAGAGCTTATAACAGAAATAGTGCGACAACGGATAACAAAAGAAACAAATGAGTACATTCAAGAAATACTCATTGAAAAAGAACAATTGGAGCGAGAAATAACTCGACTGCGAGAAGAGATACACACCACAAGCATTCAAATAATACCGACACATCTGAAAGAAAGTGAGAAGACGGAAACTCTGTCGGAAGCCAGCCATAAAACAACTGAACAGATACAAGTGGTAAGAACACCGATAGCGGCAGCCATACCTCCGCAAATAATTCACCAAACCTGCGCGTACGTCGAACCGGAGAAACGCGAAGAACAAAGAGATCAAATGAAAAAGGAAATCCAACAGCTGAAAACCGACGAGACGCAAACGGATTTGGGCGTGAGAGGCGAACCGTTGAGGCCGATCGTGGACGAGGCAACGATGTCTGTGAGCACCTCTGTGGGTGAGTATGGTCCGGTGGTTGTGTCCACACCGACAACGGAGGTGATAAGTGAGGAGACAGTGTCACNGGATGCGTCTGGCCATTTGGTCGGATTGCGAGTGGATGGATTGGATGAACGTGACACGGTTGGCATTCCGAAAGTGGACATCACATCGCCGACGGATCGTGATCTTCGACCTGTGGAATTTGGAATTGAAGAGAAGCCATCGCATCGTGTATTGGTCGATACGTGGTCGTCTGCCAGTTCGGCCGAGTGGGTGGACACGCTTGTTGCAGTGCAAGCAGGGCCAGTTCCAGTGAAGGTGTTCGGTACTCAAACGGATTTGCGCGTGAGAGGCGAACCGTTGAGGCCGATCGTGGACGAGGCAACGATGTCTGTGAGCACCTCTGTGGGTGAGTATGGTCCGGTGGTTGTGTCCACACCGACAACGGAGGTGAAACGAGAGGAGAGTGTGTTGGAAAGAGAGACGGAGCGTGGCGCAGACGAGGTGACCGATACATACGAGCATGTGTTTGTTCCTAAAGTTGTGAAGACAGAGTCTGTCAGTGTTCAGGCGGATATGTTACGCATACAAACGATCGAGGCGTCTCAACATGTGATGTTGGAGGCGAAGAGCGACGTGAGTCAGACCGTGGCTGGTCCAGATGTCCCATCAACGGTGCCGACAACCTCAGTTTCCGTTGATCGCACAATTCGAATGACAGACGTGAGCGTGAGCTACGTCCGTGAAGCATCTGTTCCCGTTGACACATCGACCAGTGTGATTGTTTCGGAGAAGCCAGTGTCACGCGTTCCGACACTGATCGAGGCTTCGACCATGAGCACGCAGATGGCCGTGCCTACGATCGATCATAGTAGCGTCGGAGTAGGCGCAGATCAATCGGATTCGGGTCATTGTTCAGTGTGTGGTCAGCGATTGCGAACGGAGAGATTGACAGTGGTGGACGATGCGGTTCAAACGGACGTTGTTTCTGAAGTATCGGACACGGGTGTTGGCGAGTCTGCGGTACAGCCTTCGGTGTCTAAGGATGTCGTGAGTACGAGAAGCATAGTGCGTCTAGACGAATCTACTCAAACAGTTTCTCAGAGGATGATTGTTGTGAGTGAGATGGTGGACAGTTTCAGTTCTGAGTCGACGAGCGCGTGGACAGACAGGGTTTCGTTAGTGCCAGCGGATAGCGTTCAGGTGAAGGTGTTCGGTACCCAAACGGATTTGGGCGTGAGAGGCGAACCGTTGAGGCCGATCGTGGACGAGGCAACGATGTCTGTGAGCACCTCTGTGGGTGAGTATGGTCCGGTGGTTGTGTCCACACCGACAACGGAGGTGATAAGTGAGGAGACAGTGTCACAACGGGAAGGAACGTCCGGAGCGCGTATCATTTATCCTATCCTGATTGATGATAGTACTTCTACATTCAGACGGGTCGCCGATCGAACTGCTCTCGTCGATGCTGAAATGCAGTCTGTGGTTTTCGGCGCACCTGCTGTGATTTCTTCGCGCAACATCGGTGTCACCGCGCAAAGTGTGACACCTATTTCAGATCAACATTCCTACAATATTTCATATCCATCCGATAGTGTCAAGTCGTCACTTATTTTCACTGATGCGGTCACTCAATGCGATTCTCCGAGTGATAAGGTGTCCGAATTTGTTGTGACTACTAAGCCCACTGCAAGTTGTGCTGTGCAAACATCTCTGACAGTGGGTTTGTGTGATACGGAAAGCTTACTGCTACGCGACGTGCCGGTCCCGAGTGGTGTGTTCGACTCTCGCATGGAGTCTCACGGTGATGTGAAAGTGGGCTTGCCTGAGTTAATATCCGTTAACGTGCAAACAGAACGTGTCACTTCTGATAAGGTTAGTCCCGTACTAATCGATGCTTCTACGGCTACTGTCTCAGCTGCGATAACAGACTCATGGATGCAAGTGCACGATTCATCGATGCAAATGTTGCGAGATGCAGATATGAAACGTTCTGTACCTATACTTCTGGATAATTATACAAGTGCATCCACTGGAGAGGTTGTTTTCCGGCAGCCTGGAGATGTTTATGACGGAACACGTATGGGTGACAGAGAGTTGAGTGAACATGCACTTGCACAATCAACGTCAGATAAGCCAACTGCTAGAGTATCGATGTGTTCCAGCCATGTGCAATATGTCAAGGCGAGAACGCCAGTTAGCACACAGACGGTTGAAATAATCGGAACCACGATGTATCCAAGCGTTCAAGAGGTGGGCGAAAAGGAGAAAATACGAGGAGAAACAAAAGAAGCTGTTACCCAAACCAAGGAAATTTCCGTCCCACTACTTGAGGCATCACAACATGTTCTGCTTGAGTCGATGAGTGATGCTGTACAGGAATCAGAACAGGAGAGACGTGGTGAAAGTTCAACAACCATTAGTGATACAAGGTTGACAACGGTTGAAAAACAAGGAAAGGAAGAAACAACGACTGTAAAGCGTGCGACTCTAAATGTGTTGGACTGCGAGAGTGCAGCTTTGCTTAGATTGTCTGACATAACTACTCAAACAACATACCCGAAAGTGGATTTGATTAGCTCAACCAGTGATTCGTTCACTGTACCGGCTGAGCGAGAATCCCGTATGACTGATGTTAGCATCAGTTATCTAACGAAACCAATAACAACTACCGATATGTCTATGGTAATGAGTGCAATGAAGACAACGAAAGAATCAGGTGAGAGAGAGGCCGTGGAAAGAGGACGATCGCACGATGCAGCAACAATGACTGAGATAGAAGTGCACGTAAAAGATGAAGAATCTACACCAACAGATGAAGAGAAAAGGCAGCTGACCGCCACAGCCTCAGTACAAGCGGATTTGATGCGCATACAAACGATCGAGGCGTCTCAACATGTGATGTTGGAGGCGAAGAGCGACGTGAGT